TTTCGGCGACAAATGATTGGCACCGGAACTCAACTCATGGGACAAAGTCGCCGCTGTCCTGATTACTAGGACATTTATGTGTTCTTGTCATAATAGTTCTGCCATGTAGAAAAATGATGATAGGCAGATACCGTTTCGGTAACTAATACCTATTTAACCCCGCTGATTTCATGCTGATTACGTTGTGCGCCCCGCCAAAATTTGTCTTTAACCTGTAATTAGTGTTGACAGTTACAACAAAGTTCCCTATTGATATAAAGAAAATCTGACAAACCAAACCGACAGATTACGAACTACTCAGTTCAGTGACATTCATGACTTAAACATATATTGAAGTAAACTGCAATACTTGCGAAGACTGCTGACTATTAATTGCAACCAACTTTTGTCTTATCATAAATAAATAAACACAGATAACATTATGATACTAATATCATTATATAAACATAGTAAGCCTGAAAACGAGCTGAGAGGTTACTTATTTCATGTCCCACTGCGTGAAATTTTTTTATTGTTCCTCATGTACGTATGAAATTGCACTAACAGCTATATTCCCGTAATTCAATTATCCCTACAAAAATATTTCTGCAGGTGACTGATACCTTGATAGTTATAAGTCATAAAATATAAACGAAACTATATGAATAAATAGTTATACAGAATGTCATTGACTCGGTGTGGAACCATCTTATTGCAGGTTATTCCAAATTTTGTTGCCAGGGTTCACTTCGTGTCAGTTGCTACCATGCTCCGATCAATCGCCTTTTTATGCACATTAGTGCTGTTGCGTTCTCCAAAAAGAATGGTGCTTCTATACATTTCAAAATCCAGCGAAAAGAGTTGCGCAAAAATGGCTGATTAGAAAGTAAATGGTATGAGAAAGTCACGTGGACTACCATACAGAAACATCTAAAAAGCACAGCAGTACGATAGTCGAATCCTACCGTGTGTATATCAAAAATAACCCTTCAACATTTTAAACAGTACCGGCGATTTGTTATTCAATCACACTTTCAGCAAAATATTTATGGATAAAGAAAAATGCCTACAACAGACTTCTCAACACCCGTTTTCTCCATCGATGCGCAATCTAAATGAAATACATTTTAGCTTTGAAGGGTTTATTAATTTGTCGCACAAATTACTGCGATAGGTTCACCTTGGGCTGTATATGCCCACCACCATTTATTTTTACTGCTTTCGGAAAGAAGCAAGCTCCATCACAACTAGCTGCATTATTCGTCGTACGTGGGTCAGCGTACATCAAAAGATGTCGAAAATCTTTAACTACGTATGACAAGGAATACTGAAATCCTACGTTGGGTGTCAATACCCGAATTATGACCAAGAGCTAGGTCTGTGATATATTTTGGCGTGCCATACAACGTAAAGATACTTTTGAACGTGTAACCTCATGATACTCTCAATATCCAGAAGTCAGAATTATTTACTCCTTACTTTCGGAGTTGGGAAACGTTACAGAGATTTCTCGATTTTACATGCACAGCGCGTGAATGAATTGCAATCGTTCGTAAAAATTTCTGACATCTGAATGAATTGAATTCCCAATTCACCCAAATGTGACTTAACTAACTGTCCCGAAGAGATTACATATTATGTTTGCTAAAACACCGTGCAAGGTATTATTTAGAAAATAGTAATCGATTTCAAAACCCTCCTCAGTTAGGTTACAGATGTCATCGCATTATTAGTTTGGCGCCCCTGCTCTCTTTCATTCATGTCACAACATGTTAGCACGTAACAGGGTCAATCAGGAGAACTGGCTGCGAAAAATGCCAACCGGTGGCATTGTTCTTTACATTTGGATTACTGTACAACTACAACGTGACAATAGAGAATGTGTGATAATGTCCTCAGTAATACCGCAAATAACTACTAATCTTTAAATAGCTGCACATAACTGCTGTAAACCTAAGTGTGGCTGTTAGTGACTTAGATTACCATCATTCAAGCCAAACGCACACCAATAGTGAGGAAAGGTGGTAACAGTTTAGTTGGAAAAATTCACTCACATCGACCTCAATAATAAATGATATTGCTTACTGTGGCCAAACTGGCTTCATCGTTGCAAATGTGGATGATACCAGTCGGTTTTTCAGCGATTAGATTAATGATTGGTTGATTATCCGGGAATTCAATGTACTGCCAATCGATATGTTCCTTTTTATACTCTTCTTGTTCCAATTCGAATATGTAGAAGTTGAAAAACCTCTGTAAATTCTCATTGGTGTAGTTGATGCAGAACTGCTCCAATGAGTTGGTTGGTAAATTCTGTACAACACAGGAAGAAAGACAAGAAATATGAACGACAATAAGCAGCACTGCGACAAAGGTTTATCAAGCTTATCCTGTGACAATTTTATGAGTGAGGGTTTAAAATAATGCTTCAGCTGTTGTTGTTTTTGTGCTTTCTTAACTGTTTCAACTGATTTCGGTTTATACTAAAACATGACCGGTGTTTAGTTCATATATGTATTTATTAACAATAAGATTAAACTTATAAACGAGACGTTGTGAAATAGTGGTGCCATGTAAGGGGACCTCTTGAGAGCAAAAACCGAAATAACTACAGATAAATACCCGTCAATCAGGGGTAGAATAATGGAACTGACCAGACAGTGATATGATGAGCTGCGTAAAATATATGTATATACATGATGCTGGCTTTAAACAAACCATGATAAGGGCGATTAGTGGAGGACACCGGTAGAATACGCAAGCTTTTGGCTGTTCAAATGATTTAAGAGATATCAGTCTTGATTTACAATATAAATGAGGCTATCAAAGTTATTCTTAAGCACGCTTAATCTAAATAAATGTGCATATTCCATATAGCAGTCGCTTTATAAGATGGTAGAGATTAAAACTCTGACGCACCACTTTTGCGTTGTATCAGTCTGACCTTGATGAAAGCTCGTGCATCAGGAAGCCACTCACTTTCTGGTCAAAGAAGTCATCATTAACAACGGTGACGAATCCTTGTTGCAACGTTTACTTTCAGCTGCAAATGTTACTCCGGATAAATAAAGGGGTCAGCAAGACAACAAGACCCTTTCATTCTCTGACCCGCTTCCCATCGGATATAATTGTATGTAGTCAAACAAGGGCGAAAAGTTGGTTCAATGCTTTTGTTTATGAGGCACGCTTTAACCTGAACACCTCAGAAACAATGTTGTGATCAGCACGATCGTTATAATTAGAAGAACAACGAACATTTGGGAATATTTCATACAACGTTTTGTTAGATAAAATTATTGAGCTCTGTTTCATCGTAAAGTCAAATATATCCAAGCGAGCCGCGGGGCCTTTGAATTCGGTGACGCCATTTAGCTTGAAAATCATATTAACACCTTTTGTGGACTTAGTCATCATCAAGCGAATCGTGATCAATTTCAAGGACATTGAATGTTATCCTACACGAGCACGTTTATGAAACCTTTATGCGCTAGCGCGTGATCCGCAAATTTTGTGAATTATGACAACAAAGCAAGAAACAGGTTCAAGTGGATTATCAAAACACAAAGTGGCAGGGGAAGAAAACATCGCGCAGGTTGGCAAGTCGGTCTCAGAAGTGCAGGGCCAGTGAAATGCATATTCCTCCCATTTTATCAAGCAACATTCGTTATCTGTTGAGACTAGTCGATGATGCAGCAGACATCACATACAAAAAGGAGTACACAAACCTTGGGATTATTATGCTACAAGAACCTTGGTTGCATGAAAAGATCCGCAGTGAAATTTCGCAAATAGAGGGATATAATTTGTCTCGGTTTGACCATATTACGAGTTTCCGTAAGCAAGGCGGAGGTGTTCCAAGTTACGTTAGCAACAACTGGAGTGAACCAACTGCTGTCATCTACGAAGACTCAATCATCAGCTACACAGGATGACTTCTCACAGCCGTAGATCCAATCATGCCTGAAAGGTCAACGGGTAGAGACCAGTCTCACAAGGCGAGCTGCTTGGGCACCTCCTGGCTTCCTTCCTCTATCCACACCCGCCCCTGGAGAGGTCACTCCAGTAAAAAACACGGTGAGGGGCAGTTTACCGGTCAAAAAACCCCCGCTAGATGGACCTAGGAGCGGGGTACCTGGGGCTTTCTCTCGACGGTGGGAGAAGTCTTCGTACTTCATTGGACAGCTACCGGCCGCCCAAGCTGGGCAGCCCCCAGCCAATAAGGTGCTGTCCTGTCCACGTTCCGCTTGTCTCATTGGGTGCATGAGGCTGAGGGCTGATCCCGAAAAGCGGACAGAAAATCAACGCACCAGCGAACAACACAATTAATCGAAATTCAAAGGCCTTGCGTGACAGGTCCATAGAAGCTCCCACACGGGTGCTTCGTTCACGCTCCCGCGTTGGATTTACGCCCCACTGC